CAAATGAGCTATTGCTTCTTGTTGAGCTTGCAATATTTCGAAAATCATACGCAAGCTGACGCCGTTTACCTCGATGTTATGGGTATCTTGAGCTGCAGACCAAGTGACACCATGAATGCTATTTTCGAGTTCAGAATATAGGTTCACCTCAATGGCTGCATACGAATTGTTATCTATTTGCGCTTCGATTCGAGCTCCAACGGCGTTGACAAGTGGTCTCTCAGTTCTGGGTGTCAAGTCATTGTTCTCATCTTAAAGACCGGCTTCGTTGTCGATTGATGAGACCATTTGATAGGTAGTTAGTCGTTGTTAATACAAAATCCAAGATTTTTTCGGAGACAAGCGCAAAACACAATAGTGTATTTTTGCAGATTCGGTAATGGATTGAGCCCTCGGCCTTGGTTTGAGCTCGACTTTGACTTAGAGTCTCGATATTCGGGGTGCGTGTTGGTCGGTCTATGCAACTTTGATAATCTCCGCTTTGCCTCGTAGTTCAATTTGGATATGAGCTCAATAATGATACCGAGCTTGTCGTTGATCGATCTTAGAGCTCGAAGCTCGACGCCCTTACTTTGGACCTCGACCCGTCGTCATGCAGATACCCTTTGATCGAAGTATTATAACCTCGACCAGTCCGTACGACTGACTTAATCAGTTTTGACCGTACATAATCTTCATCACAAAACATACCGGAATACTCAATTTGTAATCAACATCTAGGAATTTACAAGGATAATAGGAATTCCAATTCTTAAAGAAGAGTTTAGCCAACATACCTCACTTGAGGTTCCTTACACTCTAAATGTTCCGGAATTCTTAGAAACTTCAATCTATTTTTGATATATAACAAACTGAACCAAAAATAGGAAGATGACCATGGTTCTAGTTCATTTAAGCATTTTATCAAACACTAGGTGTGCATTAAGATTTCAAGGTCCTTTTATGGAGAATTCCATCATCCCACAACCCAATCTTTACCATGCTTAGTTCAACCATCTTCCTACACCCCTAGAAATCATATGCATGTAAAATAAACAACTCTCATGCCCAACAATTATCTTGCTAATTACCCCTTTTCAGAAAATTTCGAAATTAGGGGTTAGGTGTAGAATCTTACCTCTAGGATGAAGACCTACTGAGTTTCCCTTCTTAATCTTCCAAAACTTGAGCAAGAATTGACGAAAATATTATTGAAGAACTTCTCACTCTAGGGCACTCTCTCACTATAAAATATCAAATTATAGCTCAAAAATGGCCCAAAGAGTGTATTTAACGAAATAGGGTCGGGTTTTAAAACCCCAAAAATGGAGCTCTGGAACAAGGTCTGCGATCGCATAACCGATATGCGGACCGAATATCGGTCCCATTATTCGTTACAAAATAGCCAAAAGACCTGTCTGTGTTTGCGGTCGACTATGCGACCGCATAAATGTTCTACGGTCGCATAATGCACCGCAGAATAGTTATGCGGTCGCATAGTCGACCACATATTTTCTTCCAAACTGACCCTCTCCTTCTCACTTCTGAGGCCATTATGCGGCCCACAGAGTATGCGGTCGCATAATGGACCGCATAAACGCAATTTTCCGCCAAACCATTACCTTTACTTTTCGGTGCATTTCTCAACCCAAAAACCAATTCGGCACCACGAAACATTATTTTATTTTTGAAAATTTTTACGGGGCATTACAATTGCACCATGAATAAAGAATCATATGTATGGTCAAGAGAGCCAATGAAATAATAATGTTATAAGTGGTTGAAAGTACAGATTAAGTGATATGTGGTGTGAAAGGTTATGAGATGTATGTACTTGTACTTTTGTTTCCAATGTGTTATGAAACCCTATTGACGGTCTATGAAATGTATAGGTATATTGTGTTATGAAATCCTATGGACAGTCTATGAAAAGCATAGGTATATTGTATTATGATATCCTGTGGACGGTCTATGAAATGTATAGGTATATTGTGTTATGAAATCCTATGGACAGTCTATGAAAAGCATAGGTATATTGTATTATGATATCCTGTGGACGGTCTATGAAATGCATAGGTATATTGTGTTATAAAATCCTATGGACGGTCTATGAAACACAAAGGTATATTGTGTTATGAAATCCTGTGGATAGTCTATAAAACGCATAGGTATATTGTGTTATGAAATCATGTGGAGGGTCTATGAAATGCATAGGTGCATTGTGTATGGGTAGTATAGGTGTACGGTACGAATAAACACTATGGACGGTCTATGAAACGCATATATGTATAATAAGATATGTGAACACTATGGACGGTCTATGAAATGCATAAGTGTATAATATTATATGTGAACACTATGGACGGTCTATGAAACGCATAAGTTTGTAATATGATATGTGAACACTATGGACGGTCTATGAAATGCATAAGTGTATAATATGATATGTGAACACTAAGGACGGTCTAATGAGACACATTATTAATACAGACAATAGGTGCCTCTTTTGTTGTCCTTGTTTGTACAGGTTATTTCAATTACAGTATATTATGTGTTCCACGTATAGATCATATGTGCATTCTATTTTGAAATAGGATTTCTAGCTATACATACTAGCACTATTCGACAGTACTAGTGTCTGTTTTGCCGGGGGCGCTGCATCTTTAATGGATGTAGGTGGTTCTACAGCAAGCGGCATTGATCAGTGATAGCAGTACACTCTTTTCAGCTGATTTGGTGAGCCCCTCTTCATTTCGGGGTTATGTATCTTTTGTTTCTCATGTACTTTGTGGTTGAGGTATAGCCGGGGTCTTGTTGCCAGCGTTTCCATATTACTCTTCAGTTGTGCTTAGAGGCTCCGTAGACAGGTTGTGGGTAGTATTTGATGTTGGAAATTGGATAAGAACTGTTGGTATTTGGCAACATGTTTTTCATTAAATCTATAAACTCGTACTATTTTGGAAATATAGAATGATATCTTTAATGGGAATGAAATGGAAGCGGTTAATGAAATCTTTTAAGTATTTGATTAACAGAGTACATCTCCTCTTTATTCAGGGATGAATTTGGGTAGAATTAAATCAAACAGGCTTGCTCAGTCGGTTTTACTCGGTTGAGAGCCGGTCACGCTCCTCGATTTTGGGGTATGACATTTAGCATCAGGGTCTGCACGCGCGGCGCTGTTGGCATCTGCCTATGGCTGGGCACTAGCGATGGCTAGCGGTGGGGTGACAGAGGCACATGCACGCTTGTCACTTGGAGCTGCCTTGATCACAGGGCCGTCCGTGGTGCTGGGCGTTGGGAGGCTTGCCAGTACGCCACGTGGCGCGTCCAAGGGGTCATGGGGCATGGCTGGAAATCTGCCCATGACACTCTCCCCCACCTGAGTTGGAGACGTCATAGGTGCCTTACTTGCAAGATAATCATCAAGTAGGCTCTTGTAGGATTTGAGGTTTGTTTCCCTCTCCCAGGTGTTCTCCTCTGCATCACATCTTTGCCATTTCACCAAGAACTCATGGTGATATTTCCTTGAGACATGAATAACTCGATCATCAAGAATAGCTTCACCACACCTTTTCCCGGTTGAATTGGGGCCTCCAATACTAGGTACTGTGAGTTGGCTCCGTAAAGGATCCTCCATATCTTTCCGAAAAGGTTTCAATAGACTGACATGGAAAACGGGATGGATTTTCCACCAAGCTGGGGTATCCACCCGGTATGCAACTTTCCCAATGCACCTATCAATGGACAAAGGTCCAATATATTTTTTGCAATAGGCGAGGGTCATGGACCCCTGCAAACAAGTACCGCTTTGGGATTTTGACCATCACTTTGTCTCCTACTTGATATTCAACAAAGCGACAATTTTGATCAGCATGCCTCTTCTTTCGCTTTTGGGCTATGACAAGATAGCTCTGCACTATCTCCAAATTTTGCTTCCATTCTTTTGAAGTTGTCCGGTAACAATTTCAAAAGCGCTTTTGTTGGTACTAGTGCTCTTTTGTGAATTGAAACACAATTGAGCAGCATCCGGAAGCTTCACCTAGTTCTTTTGCAATCCGGTTAAGAAGTGGCAGAGATATTCCTCTAGCATGCCATTGAATCGCTCTGCCTGGCCATTAGATTTCGGATGAAAACTTGAGCTATGACTCAATTTTTTCCCGAGACACTTAAAGAGTCAGGTCCAAAAGTTGCTAGTGAAGTGTGAGTCACAATCACTAACGATGTCTTTAGGCAGACCCCAATATTTGACGACATGAGAGAAGAAGAGTCGAGTTGTTTCTTCTGCTTATATATATTGTGGGGCTACTATAAAGGTAGCATACTTGGAAAACTGATCCACCACAACCAGGATGGTTGTGAGATATTCGACCTTGGGAAATTCGTTGATGAAGTCCAGGGAAATGCTTTCCCAAGGTCCTTTTAGGACAGCGAGTGGTTCCAAGAGTCTTGTTTGCATCAAGTAGTCCGATTTATCCTCCTGGCATACTAGACGAGTCTTCACATACTGAGCGATGTCATCGGCCAATAATATGCACGTTGAAGCAATGCCATGGTGAGTTCTTCACCAGGATGACCAACCCACAAAGTATCGTGGAATTCCGCGAGAAGTGCCCTTCGTAGATCGAATCCTTTAGGAACATAAAGTCGGTTCCCTTTCACTTTTAGGGAACCATCTTTTGTGTAGAACTGGCATGTCTTGCCCTGTCTTACCGAATCACCCAAATAATGTGCAGCAGGATCCTTGATAAGTAAGTCCTGTATCTGGTGTTTTATGGTGGTGGTTACTTCGCTCCTCTTTAGGGTGGCGAGTAGGCACACCGAGGCTAGATCAGCCCTCCGACGGAGTGCATCAGCAACATGATTAGTTTTCCCACTTCGATAATCTAGGTTGAAGTGAAATTCCTCTAGGAGTTCCTCCCATCTGGCCTGTTGACCATTCAACATTGGCTGGGTCATGAAATGGCTAACAGTTGTGTTAGCTGTCTTGACCATGAACGGGTATCCAATAGATAATGCCTCTAAAGGCATAAGCAATGAACGACAGCTAATAATTGTTGCTTGTGGGCGGCATAGCACCGCTCTGCATCCTTCAGTTTCCAGCTCTCGTACACTAAGGGATGTCCGTCTTGTAGCAAGACTCCACCAAGGTCATAGTTGGAGGCATCCGTTTGTACCTCGAATGGCTTGGCCAAATCAGGGAGGGCCAAGACGGGGCTACTAGACATAGCCATTTTTAATGCGTTGAAGGCCTCTGTTCGACTGGGTCCCCAATCCCAGAGTGTGGCCTTCTTGAGTAGTTCTATTAGCGGCACTGTAATGAGGGAGTAATTCTTCACAAATCGCCGATAGAAGTTGCGTAGGCCAAGGAAAGACCTAAAGGCGTGGATATCCTTAGGTGGCGGCCAATCTGTGATGGCCTGAATCTTCTGTTGGTCCATCTTGATCCGCCCTTCCTCGATGACATATCCGAGGAAATCAATTTATTTCCGAGCAAATGAGCACTTGGATAGCTTCACATATAATTTGTGCTCCCCTAATCGGGCTAGGACCTCCGCAAGTGCTCAAGGTATTCTTCCAATGTCTGGCTATATACCACAATATCATCCAAGTAGACCACCATGAATTCGTTAATGAATTCTCAGAAGACTTGGTTCATCAGGGTGCAAAATGTGGCTGGCGCATTAGTCAAACCGAATTGCATAACCAGGATGTCGTACGACCCATATCTTGTCACGCATGTCATCTTGTGTTCATCACCCTCTGCAATCCGAACTTGCCAATAACCTGTCCTTAGGTCTCTTTTGGTGAACACCGTCGCACAGCCCAGTCTATCGAACAAGTCTACCATTAGCGAAATAGGGTACTTGTTCTTCACGGTGATTTTGGTTAGTGCCCGGTAATCCACACAGTGTCGTAAACTGCCATCATGTTTCTTTTAGAATAGCATAGGGCACCCGTATGGGGACTTGGAGGCTACGATGAACCCTGTGTCTAGCATTTCCGTCAATTGTCTCCGATGTTCGGTGAGTTCTGGTTGTTAAATTCTGTATGGCGCCCTGGCAGGTGGCTTTGCACCCGGCACCAACTCAATCTCATGGTTCACAGTTCGCTTAGGCAGGAGACGCTTTGGCATGTCTTGTTGCATGATGACTGCAAATTCCAGTAGTAGCTCCTTCACGGGTGAAGGAATGGGACCCGAGGAACATTCTATATCTTCAATACAGAGGGTAACTAGGAATGTAGGTTCATGTCTTTTGACCCCCTTCTTTAATTGCAAGGCCGAGATGTTCTCAACGGCCATCTTCAGGGGCATGCACAGGATAATACAGGGCTTGGCCCCATTTGTTCCCATCATCATTAGCATGTCTGCATACGATACAAACATGGTGTTGGTTTGCCCCAATAATTCCAACGCCACTATCAACTCGAAGTCATCTATGATCACCACGTGCAGGTTGAAATTTCCTTCATAAGGGCCAAGCTTCACTGGTACTTCTTTGTCTATTCCACCCACTAGCTGAGGGGGTGAGTTGATAACGTTGACATAACCTCTACCCTTTCCTACAACTAGGCTGAGGCGCTCCACCTGAGTCGAGGCTAAGTAGTTGTGGGTAGCACCCGTGTCTATCTTCGCCCCAATAGGCTTGCCCTTTACCTTCATGTCGACGAATATTAAGGTCCTCTCTTGATTAAGAGGAGTCCTCTCATTTGTCTTCTTTTCCCCTTTCTTGGCGATTGGGCAAGGGTCCTCCTCTTATGGATTCCAGCACTGGTTCCCGCAAAGGACTCGAAAATAGAGCCAACAATTGCATTGAACGCACCTAGTGGTCCAGTCTTGTCCGCAAGTCATCCGTCCCAACATCAAAAGCTTGATGGGCATTCATCTGTGCATGTGGGCATTCGTTATTTCAATGTTGTCAGCTGCAATGACGGTAACCTGATGGGGGTTTCCTCCCCCGATCGTTGTTGTTAGATGCAGTGCTAGTACTGCCTGAGGAGGGAGCCTTAGATTTGGTTGCACTCCGGTCTCCTCTACTTCTGATTGGATCACCAGTGTTCGGCTGGCCCTCTTTGTATCCTCCTCGGATAGGTTGTTGAGGCCTGTCCTTATGGGCTTCCACTTGATAATCCCCAAGGCACTCTACTGCTTAGATTGCCTTAGGTAACGTGTCTACCCTTTGTCTTTGCAACTCCATAAGGGCATAAGGTTTCAACCCTTCTAGGAAGGTGAAGAGTTTGTCTTTGTACCCTATGTCGCATATGTTCACCATGAGCATAGAGAATTCCGGCAGGTAATCCCGCATTGATTTGGTTTTGCAGAGCTCCCGTAGCGTTTTCCTTGCATATAGACGTATGGATGCCTTCAGCTCCACCAATGTCTCGAGAGCATCTTCACTGGCCTTGATGGCTTCGTATTTCACCCGCCACCGGAGTTTGGCATTACCCTGAAGATACACGGCAGCAATTGCTACCTTCTTAGCTTCTTCTAGCACCCCCATGACATCAAAGTATTGTTCAATGTTGAAAATGAATTTTTTCATTTCTTTGGCATTCTGAGATCCAGTGTATGGCTTTGGATGAGGAATTTTAAGTTTTTATGCCACAGGGGAGAAGTTCACAACACCCCCAATTTGGTTTCTGCCTCCTCGTAGAAGGCCTTGTAAAGTAGCATTGACAACATTGAGCTGGCATGTCAAGTTGTATATAGTTGGTTGCATGGCAGTCACCCTGTCTGCCTCTTGTGCCCTGTCAGCTAAATCCTCGGTACGCTCCTATTGGAGGACCTCGAATTTACCAAAACTTTTGACTGCCTTTGTGGCTGCCGTTTGCTGGTCTCCTTCAGAGTCGCAGCTGATGTTTTCTATGTCAACTTTGGCCTAGAGCAGTCTACGGTCTAGGTTGTCTAACCTTTGCACTAGGGTGGTCTTTAGGTGAGGCACTATTTCCATGATGGGCGGTAATACGTCAACCATCTCCTCAAGGATCACGATGTGATCCCCATGATTCACCATGGTCAGAAATGGTGGTAATTGCAATGTAATCACTCATCTGATGTTGAGTCTAAGCTCTGATACCAACTGTTATGCGGCGCCTTCCTGAGATTCTTTGGAAGGATAACGTAAGGCTAAGAAATCATTGTCAGTGCAATTGTTGTCCGCCAACTGAGGTCCCATCCATACGCTAGACTAGATAGTCAGTGCCGTACGGCAAAACCAATGTCATGAGCAACTGAGAGAGCAGAAAACAGAATTGAGATAGAAAGAAATCTTGATTGCATTAATGATAGCTATTACAGAAAAGCAACACGATGTAGGGGGTGGGAGGGGGGAGGAGACAGCAGTACAGAGAATTGTTTACTTGCTAGAAAGTTTGATTGCTTGATCCCCCTTAATAATGCTTAAAAAAAATAAACCAAAGTTACATAACTTGACCTAAATAAGATGTAGAAGCACACTTAAAGAAAATGCAATAAAACTACTCTATATTTACAATAAAAAGGACTCAGTCTTCTACAAGGTAGAAACAAGTCCGTTGGCAGCAGCTTTGTCTTTAGCATCTGGGTTTGTGCGCGCAATGCTATTGGCATCTGCCTGTGGCTAGGCGCTGGCGATGGCTAGTGGTGGGGCGACAGATACACATGCGCGCTTGTCACTTGGAACTGCCGAGACCACAGGGCCGACCGTGGTGCCAGGTATTGGGAGGCTTGCCATGATTCCATGGGGCGCTTCCAAGGGGTCATGGGGCATGGCTGGAAAGCCGCCCATGATAGTACTGACGTCCCTTTTGTCGGCGGTGCTGCATCTTCAATAAGTGTAGGTGGTTCATCAGCGGGCAACTTTGGTTCTCGTTAGCCGTTACTCCATATTCAGAATGTTTTGGTGAGCCCTATTTATCCCATGCCTAATGTCATTTGATGTTGTACTTTGTATTTTGAGGTATAGTTGGGGCCTTCTTGCCGGCATTTCCATATTACTCTTATGTTGTACTCAGAGGTTCTGTAGACATGTTGTGGGTGGTGTTTGATGTTGGGAATTAAACTAGAAGTGTTGGTATAAGGGAGGCATTTGATTGTGATGCACATGCGGCGAGATAAGGGTGGATCAAGTATATTCAAACCAACCCACCAGAGACAGACACCGCCTCCCTTACAAGGCCTCATATTGATCCATCTGAATACTCGATTGGTAGTTGTTATTTTAGGCAAACTCTGCAAGCGGCAAGAACTGATCCCAAGAACCCCCGAACTCGATAACATAGGCACGAAGCATATCCTCCAATATATGAATATATGATGACGTCCAAGTCCACTACTAAAAAGTAAATGGACACGATCCGATGCAATATAATTTACCTAACTATGAGTCAGGGTCGGATCCCACAAAGAACAATATGTAGGATTTTAGGAGTGTAAGAGAATTATCACTTATTATGCTAAACCAAACACTTAGAATTGTTTTGGGAATATTTATGTCTAAATGCGAAAATGTAATTTAACCTAGAAAGAAAGTAAAATGATAAATGGCTACAAGCATGGATGCAATGGAAATTATACTCAAGTAACGATCCAGTGTATTTCACGATTTTACAAATATGAGCGAGTTTATGTTAATTAGCCTCGGATAATAATTCTATGTTAGCTTCTTCCAAAGACTAACAACACTTCCTAACTGAATTATCCCTAAAACAACTAAGACATTAAGCTCACGCGAATATGGTTACAAGTAGTTCAATCTTATCCCTAGGTAGAATCTATAAAGTGAGGGTTAAAGCCTCAAGTTCTTGTAAATTAATCTTTCCCAATCCCAAATTATATTTCCCAAAATTAATTCGAAGTTAATGGTTGAGTCATAGGGTTAGCTAATCCCTTTGGAAACACTAAAGAACAAGAATAATTAAAGAAACAATAACTCTCTTCATTATAAATAAAAATAGTTCAATACATAAGCACAACAAGGTATTTAATCCACACTTTAAATATGAATATTTCCATAAACAAATTCAAGTGTTGGAAAAAATACTACACACTTAGATATTCAATACAAAGCAAGGAAACGAATAAATGAACATAAATGGGTAAAGAAATTCTCAACCAAAGACTCCAAATCTTCGAGACCCAAGTATGTGTGCAAGAACCCTAGCTTTCAAACTTGTCTTCTCTAGTCATGAGATTGAAAATTAAGCCAAAGATGTGTTTCCAATAAGCCAGGTCATGTATTAGTGGGTTTGGAATGGAGAAAATATGAAATGCCAAAACTGTCCATAGCTGAAGCCTATTGACCACACTTGTGAATAGATGCTCGCATGTGCGGTTCCGCAGATGCGGATAGCCTCTCGCAGAAGCGGCCTTTGATGGAAAACATTTACTTCGCAGAAGAGGACTTACACGCGTAGAAGCACGATCGCATATGCGGACATCAAGCATAAAAGCACAACCGCA